TAATTTGAGTATGCCATGGACGAGACCTCCTGTTATAATCTGAAGGAAATGCTGACATGGTAGTTCTAGGCGAGGAATTCCATAAGGAGCGACCACATACTAAGAAACAAAGTAGAACAGAGGGTTAGGGTTAGGGTTTGGGGTGGGTAGGGGCAGGGGTAAGGTTTGGGGTAGGGGCAGGGTTAGGGTTTGGGGTACGGTTGAGGTCCGGGCAGGGTTAGGGATTGGGGTAGGGGTAGGCGTAAGGTTTGGGGCAGGGTTAGGGTTAGGTCTCTTCTCTATATTGTGTTTGTTGGAATGGTCGCTTGTTACGAAAGTCCTTTCCGATTATTTCTATTGTTACATTTCTCAGACACCTGATGTCAGTCACAGGGTTAATTTTTTTATCAGGTGCCCATTGGCACAAATCCATTCCTTTCCCAGTTTGGTTCGGTCGTTGGGGCTAGCCAGATTTATTTTCCTCAACGGAGGGAGAAAAGGAACCACCACGCAAACCGAAAGAAATCGACGATGACTTGGCCTTAAAAAGAACCTACAAACGTGCTTGTTTTCAAGGCTGCGAGTCAAGCAATCAGTTTGAGGCAGCGGCAGGGTTCTATTTATAGTGTGCACTGAAACCGCAAGAGACTGACTCGAAACCGACCCTCCAATGGGCACTGCCTAGATATATAGATATCTAGGGCCTATATGGCTGCGTTTTGCTTCCTGTCAGACATTCTTTATTTTTTATTGTCAACGATCAGGTTTCAGGGGAGGCATTTCGTAATGAGCGTCCACTATGAAATAGATAGAGGGCTAGTTAGGAGTAGGGTCAAGGCTCCAGGCAAGGGTTAGGTTTTGGGCTTCGGGGTAGGGGTAGGGTCAATCTTTATTTTGTGTTTGTCGGGGTGGTCGCTCGTTACGCAAGTTGAAGTTACGGCTACGGAAGTTCTTCCGGTTTCAGAGAGCAAGTCTTTCTTCTAACTTTAACAGACTTTCCCTTCCCCTCTTCCATTAAAGCGATATATATATCAGGAAATTGAGGTTGAGTTTGAAGACTCAGGGAAGGACTTCCGTAACGAGCGACCACCCTATCAAACAACAAAGAAGAGGTCTAGACCTAACCCTACCCCAAGCCCTCAATTCTGCTCTGTCTCATACTCATAGTGGTCGCTCGTTACGGAAGTCCTCCCGGACTCAGAGTAGAAGCTACCTTGTTCTGTCTTGTTAACATTATAATTTACAGGATAATACAGGGTGCCCACTACGGCTGGAGGCCGATCGCCCTAGCCCTAACACACACGTTTGTTTCTGTCAGCCCGATCCCATCCGTAGTGGTACTAGATCTACAGGGCACCCCGTATTAGATCTACTTTATATGTTCTTGTATTTTATCATTTTTAT